GTGATTATGCAACTCCCGGATACCGGAGGAATACCTTGTGTGCTATCAAATGTCACAACATAACTGGGTGATTATAAAGATGCTCTATAGGTATCTCCGAAGGTATTTGTTGGGTTGGCATAGATCGAGATTAGGATTTGTCGCTCCGAGTATCGGAGAGGTATCTCTGGGCCCTCTCGGTAATACACATCATAAGAAGCCTTGCAAGCAAAGTGACTAATGAGTTAGTTGCGGGATGATGTATTATGGAACGAGTAAAGATACTTTCCGGTAATGAGATTGAACTAGGTATGTAGATACCGACGACAGAATCTCGGGCAAGTAACATACCGATGGACAAAGGGAATAACGTATGTTGTCATAACGGTTTGACCGATAAATATCCTTGTATAATATGTAGGAGCCAATATGAGCATCCAGGTTCTGCTATTGGTTATTGACCAAAGAAGTGTCTCGGTTATGTCTACATAGTTCTCGAACCCGTAGGGTCCGCACGCTTAACGTTCGATGACGATATAATATTATATGAGTTTTGTGCTTTGGTGACCGAATGTTATTCAGAGTCCTGGATGAGATCATGGACATGACGAGGAGTCTTGAAATGGTCAAGAGGTAAATATTTGTATATAGGATGATGGTATTCGGACACCGGAAGTGTTTCAGAGGGTATCGAGTACTTATCGGGTCACCGGAAGGTGTTTCGGGTACCCCTGGCAATCCTATGGGCCATATGGACCTTGTGAAGGAACACACCAGCCCACAAGGGACTAGTGCACCCTATAAGGCTATAGGAGGAGGCGAAGGAAAGGAGGAAGGGAAAGGAAAGTGTGGATTAGGATTCCCACTTCCTTCCCTCACCCCCTCTTTCCTTCCCCTTCATGCATACATGGAAAGGGGGGGCACAGGGCAAGGTAGGGCCCCTAGGGTGCGGCGCCAACCCTAGGGCACCCCTGGCTGCCTCTCCTCCCCATCCCACGTATATATATGTGGGGAGGGGGCGCCTAGAACACAGACCAACAATTGTTAGCCGTGTGCGGCACCCCGCTCCATAGTTTACACCCCGATCATAGTTTTGCGGTGCTTAGGCAAATCCATGCGAGAATCACTTCACCATCACCATCACCACGCCGTCGTGCTGACGGAACTCATCTACTTCCTCGACACCTTGCTGGATCAAGAAGGCGAGGGACGTCATCGCGCTGAACAGGTGCAGAACTCAGAGGTGTCGTACATTCGGTACTTGATCATTCAGAGCTAGAAGAAGTTTGACTACATCAACCGTGTTGTCAAACGCTTCCGCTTTCGGTCTACGAGGGTACATGGACACACTCTCCCCCTCTCGTTGCTATGCATCTCATAGATAGATCTTGCGTGAGCGTAGGAATTTTTTTGAAATTGCATGCTACGTTCCCCAATAGGAAGTGACCACAGTACTCTCATGGTCTGAGGAACTAAAACACAAGCTAACACTCCGTGTTATAACAATTGATTTCAGACGACATTATCTCACAGTATAACAAACAAGATTGGGTCGATTCAATATGATTGTTCTTCTAACGTCACATTCTCAATGTTGTTTTAGGAATATCATTACACTTAACAATATCTTAATATCTAGAAAACATTAGCACTAACAACACTTGAGCCAGTCTCATAGGCAAGATGGGGAACCTATTCTTTACCGTACATAACTCCACACGTGCATATGAGTTTTCCGCTGAATCGCATATTCCAGGATCATAGCAGTTATAACATGAAATACAAACATTTAATTACAAAAATGGAAATATAATCATACAATATTATTTCCTTTAGGGCATATTTCCAACAGCAGGTCCTCTTGACCTCTCTCGAAGCTTCCAGGGTTTCTTGTTGCCCAAAAAATCGTATTAAATTGGCAAGTGATTTTGATCTCCATAAATATTGATTGATCGCAAAACCAAAAATGAGCAGAAAACATGAAACTGACACTAGACACTAAATTAATATGTTAGTCTAGAAAAATAATATAAATCACTTCAAAAAGTATATAAAAGGAATAATATAATAGCATGAACAATAAAAAAAGATACGTTTGAGACATATCTGTATCCTACCCTACATATGCAAGGGACATACAAGGTGAAAGTCGAGATCCCAAGTTTTAATGAAAATGTTGATATTGAAGGCTGCCTTGATTGGTTATATGAAGTGGAGACTTTCTTTGAGGTCATTGAGGTTTCGGAAGATCGTAGAGTTCCTTTGGTCACATACAAGCTGAAAGGAGGAGCCGATGCATGGTGTCATCGCTTTCAAGAAGAAGGCGGGCTGAGAGGAGGACCTCATATGAGAACTTGGCGGCAAATGAAAAGTCTTTTAAAAGGGTGATTTTTGCCCGTTGATTATGACCAGGTCCTATTTATCCAATTTCAAAATTGTGCTAAGGAAATATGACTGCCTCAGATTACATGAAGGAGTTTCTAAGGCTACAAGTGAGGTGCAACCCTGCTGAAACTGAAGGTTGATGAGTCATATTTTTGCGCTCAACACATTGTTATTTGAACTGGATAATCCCGAAATTTCTGAGAAAATCACTTTGATATTGCCAATAATGACTAATGAATGCGAGAGATCGCGAAATCATTTCTTTAATGTGTTTTCGCAGGAAAATGGCCTAAACATAGAAATGACTAAATGAATCCTTTCTTTAACGCGAGAGATCACCAGAACCATCTTCCAACCCTGGCCTTTGTCATTTCCCATCTCATCTCCATAGCTGCCGCCACCATCATCACCGCAACATATTATCTCTAAGTTAGTCATACTTGTAGTCGTGTATTGCATCCGACAACTATTGTAAGACATGCTATAAATCAATCATTCATTTTTATGTCTTTTTCAATGAGTTCATCTTGTGATCCGATAGCCATGTGTGATTAATTCTGTAAGGTAATGGGTTAAGGCAAGGCCTTGCAACCCGATGTATTTTTGGAAGGGATTGTTGGAATGACTTTGAATGTTTAACGTGTCTGATTGCAATGAGGTTGTCTCTTGTCTTCTTCTCAATCTAAGTCACTGCAGGTACCGAAGACCCCGTAGGTCGATCCAGGAGGAGGTAAGGAGCAAGAAGGACACGAAACGCTATCCTGAACAACATTGAGATAAGGGGTTATTACGGTAGCGGAAAGCAATTTCTTGGGGACGAATGAGGTGTGGTCATTAAATGCCCACTATATTTGCCGAATATTTATCCTTAATAACCGAGGTAACCCTGCGAGATGGTAAGGGTCCGCGATTGGACAATTGACTCTTAGTGTAGGTCGCTTACCAGTCAAGATGTATTTCAGACACATCCCCCACATTCTCGCGTCGCAAATACATCATAGTTGTTGTCTTCCAGAACACAAATTAATATCATTAAGATCCTCAACGCAAGTTTAAGGTTGTGAGAATAAGACCTCATACTCATGCATGTTTTTAATACCATTTTCTACACCCCTAAGGTTGTTAAATGTCCGGTCGGAAAACAGGAATTTAATTCGTTAAAAAAGACTTGTTAGAGACTTTGTCGTAGTGCACATCCTCTTATGGGTTCGATAACTTAGGGTCACTCCTTAAGGAAGGCAGAGAACCTTTACTATTCAAATTGGATCACAAAGGCCATCATGTTCGTATCTAGTTGTTGCTGTTTTTCATTGACATAAAAGTTGGATGCCTTGATCGCTAGAGCAATGAATAAGAAAATGCTCCATCTATTTGTCTGTGGACACAATCTAGGTAGTAATCTGCTCCTTAATCCGTGAGAAGCATTTTTTTAATTCACGAGAAAATATCCCCTTGGCTGTCTCCATTTTATAATATAAATTTTATAGGTATGTTTCATCTTTCTGGTTCATGCACAATTCAAGCACACTTTATCTGAGGTATTGTGGCCATGTCGACACCATCGAGCAACTGGTAGTGTCACAAAAGTAGGGCAAGATGAGCACTCTAGTTCCGGCGATGGACACGTCGATGTTCCCTAGTGTTTGCGTAGGTGTCGCTCCCTTGAAACTTCTCCCCTCTGACAGTGGCACCTTCACTTTCGACACCATTAATTGTTGGATGATGATCCTAGAGATTGACAAACGGGCCAGTCTCTAAGCATCAGTTTAAAACATACATCAAAATGCTTAGCCACAAAGGACATTCCCCTCTAGCGAACATCACACGCATGCAGTAGCATAGTGAATGATAGGCTACTCAAACGGATTTGTCCTTCGATGCCGCCCATCCTCCTGTGCTGGCGTGGTTCAATGACAGGTGTGTCGCGCGATGACCGGCCACAACACCTTATGATTGACCATGTTTCAACATGTTGTGATCAGGTGAATATGCGGCCCACCGAGGAGGGAGGAAACAACGATAAGTGACAACATGACTGTAGGCTTATTTACGTTATGTCATGTGATAATCTTGTTCTCTTGTTACAACACACGTCATATGTGCTAGCCTTTTCTAAAGCAAGTATCATAACTCTATCACTCAGTAAGCATGGTGAGTCCATACGTACGATGTTATGCCTTGGTTTTCTAGAGAAAAAATAGGTATGTTTGTGAGTAAACATGGTGAATTCAAGCGTACGATCATATGTTTGGTTTGCTTGGTGCTTTTACAATATAAGTCTTTTTTTTACCACGTGATAGATGTGGTAAGCAATTCAAACTATTAAAAAAGATTTTTTTAACACGATTTTACAGGAAAAGCTTACTTTCACATTTTTATTCGAGGAAAAGCCTAGTTTTACAGGACACCGAACCCTAACTTTATCTTTTGAGACAACCGAACCCTAACTTGCAAGCTCGTCTTTCACCTTTTCGGGTCCCAACGCCGAGCCCAGTCCAGCCCACGGTGCACCCAGAATCCCCCAAACCCACCTAGCTCTCCTTCCTTTCCGTTCTTCTATCGCTTTCCCTCGAATGGAAGCTGCGCCACGCCCGCGGCAGCAGGAACAGCACCACCGGCGGGGCCGGCATCCCTAAATGCGCCGCCCTCTCGCCGCCGCCGCCGCCCTCCGCCTCCGCCTCCTCTCATCCTCGTCCCGCCCCCTCGTCCCCTCGCCCTTTCCACTCCACCACCTCCTCCGCCGCGACGACGACCGCGAGGATCGACACCCAACGCCCCCGCCTCCGCCATTCTCGCCCCGCCCGCTCCTCGGCTCCGCATCCGGTGCCCCCGGCCTCTTTGGCCTCCGCGGGTGGCGGACGTTACCCCCGGCAGCGTCACCGCCACGAAGCACCGTCGCGGACGCGCCCCCTGTCCTGCTCACCATCTCCCGCAGTAAGATCAGTGTCCCCTTCCCTTTTCCTGTCCGTGTCCTCATTCTGGGGTTTATGAGGCATCTTACGTTTGGTATTGTTGCTGTTCCTGTTGGGCCGCAGGTTATTCTTTGCGTGTCGCCAAGACCAAGAAGCAGACACACTTCGACGATGAGCACAGGTAATTCGAATGATCCTTTTTGTTCTAAAAACTGCGTGATTGGCACACTGCTATTAATCAATCAATTGATGGATTTGTGTGTTTCGGCCATGCTTTTCTTAAGGAACCATTTTAATTGCTCTTGGAATATACTTGTGTGCTATGATGGGACAGAAGTGCTATTGCCTCTATATTGTTACTGGACAGAAATGTTATTCCATTTACAATGATGGAAGAGTAATGATTGTGATGGGAGTGATGATGCTATCTATGCTTGAGAGTAGGTACCTTTTCCATTTTAGAGGACAGATGGAAGCTATTCCTCCATCCAAACCGAGGAAGAAGATCCACTCTGAATATTTTTTTCATTTATGATGAAGTATGAATTATGATGGTCTTTCTCTATGAAATACTCATTGCACTGTCATTAAGGGTATTCAGTTTTGTGTATTATCATATGAGTTATTTAATATTTGCGTTAGCAATTATTTGCAAAATAGTGACCATTAATTTATTATTGCATGCTTGAATTATTTCTCAAGGTTCTGTATTGATATACACTTCGTTTCATGCAACTCCTGTTGATTTGATCTCAGCCATCGAGCGGTTAACACGGCACTTTGGTGTAATTTCCTTGTCTTCACGCTGAAGTTTGGTGTGTGGTTTTCAACATCTAGTCATGTTATGCTAGCTGAGCTAGTACATTCGGTGGCAGACTTTGCTAACCAGGTAACTTTACCCTTTGCAACTTAAGTTTGTGTTTCTTTTTTTCTTGTCTATTTCTTGACCTGGAGTGAAGTATCATACCCAGAGACTAACTGCCTATCAAAATTCAGGCTCTTCTTGCATATGGTCTGAGAAGTTCAAGACGTGCTCCAGATGCTCTACACCCGTATGTATAACTCTTTGATTTTCAATGCATGCTTTGTCAACAAAGATCTCCTTTTTTTACTGGAATATTAGTGATAAGGAAGAACCCTGGTATTAATCACTGTATAATAAATAATAGTCTCTAGAGAACCAGTGATAAGACTGTCTATATATGACATAAATTGATGTGGTGCCCTGTGTCTTGACTTAATGATTGCTTACCCTAGCTTAATCTCTTTTGCAGCTATGGTTATTCAAAAGAAAGATTTGTATGGTCTTTGATATCCGCAGTTGGAATATTTTGCTTGGGTTCAGGTGCTACTATTGTGAATGGAGTTCAGAACTTGTGGAGTTCTCAAGTATGATGCGAGTGTATCATTTGGTTCAGTAGAGAATTTTTGCATGTACATTCCATTTTATCATCAAATCTTATCCCAAGTACAGTTTTCATATCTTATACTTATATTACACAGCCTCCCGAGAACATTCACTATGCTGCATTAGTGATTGGTGGGTCGATCCTAATTGAAGGTGTTATTCACGAAAACCTGTTCTCTTTATTTGCTTTAGTTATTTAGTATGGTTTTAGTTGACAGATGCTGTTGTCTCTCTAGGTGCTTCACTTCTTGTTGCTATAAAGGCTGTTAAGAAAGGTGCAGCAGCAGAAGGAATGAGTATCAGAGACTACATCTGGCGTGGTCATGATCCAACTTCAGTTGCTGTTATGACTGAAGTGAGTAATGTGTTCTAAACTACCTTAGTTCCTCTCTCTTCTAGTCCAATCACTTCCTGCAACTGAAATCCTGAACTTGCATCTGTGCCCTTTTTTTATGATTAATTTAGTTGCCCGCATTTGCTGTCTTAATCATATTTCTTCTTTACTTACCAGTTACCATTTATTCCTTCTTAACTCCCTTGATTCCTTCTCATATCCCAATAATTGTCCGACAGGATGGTGCTGCTGTTACAGGTCTTGCTATTGCAGCAGCATCTTTGGTGGCTGTTCAAATGACAGGAAACCCCATCTATGATCCAATTGGTTCCATCATTGTTGGTAACTTACTTGGAATGGTATGCTAATTTTTCCGTTTCATGTTTTTCTGTTTTGCTTCTGTCAGCTTATATTTGCTCTGTTTGTACAAACGTACTCCCTCCGTCCGGTGAAAAGTGTACGTTTGGGTTTAAAATTTGTCCACCAAAGAGTGTACTTCTACCTTCCCAATGCACTTTAAACTATTTTCTCTCATCACACGGTAATCAAGACCAATAGCATTCTATACATAATCTTCTTAATTTCTACATGCACTTAGCTCATTGGGGGTTGGGTAATTAAAGAGGAGAGAGATGGTGGCTTGCATCTTCCCAATGCATTTTTTACTTCACTTCATAATTTGTCCTAAAATTTCTAGATGTACATTTTTCACCGGACGGAGGGAGTAGAGTCAATACAAATGTATTTGTGCTCTGTACTTGAATTATGCTGCCCTACTGACAATTTTGCCATATTTTCTGTACACATTTTCATGAGAATCTGAAACAAATTGAAATGAATATCGTCATGTTTTCGCATTGAAGCAAAGCCACACATTCTGCCATTTGAACTCTCTACCCAATTATATGTCCTTATTGAAATTATCTTTATTAGAACCATGAGTTGGTTGCGAGATCTTATTGGTTTCAGCTCTACCCTACCCCAACTTGTTTGGGACTAAAGGCTTTGTTGTTGTTGTTGTATCGAAATTATCTTTGTTCTGGCATGGACTCATCGTGGTATGTTATCAGATTGTAGAATTTTCTCATCTCTTTATTGTTTTTATGATCTGTTAGCTTCAATCTATTGCCAGAAAGTGTCAAATGATGCTATGTTCATCTGTGTGCCAGATAGAACAGTATCTTGGCTGTTATAACACTCATACAAGCAATATGCGCTATCTGTTGAAGTGGCACGCTGCATAGGCTGCATTTGTTTGATTTGTGAAGCTCTAAGGTCAAAAGTTTCATAACTGCCACCGCTAGTCTGCTATAGCGGTGTTATGTTTCTTGATGTATATTTTTTTGTTAATTGCGTTAAGTCTGAAGTATGTTCTATTAAACTTTTATTTGATTGCTGGTTTATTCAGTTTTTTTTGTATAACTTGCCTCACACATCCTGCATTTGGTTTCATAGTGAAGCTGTGTATGCTATCCATGCTCTAGTGTTAGGTAAACTAAGGAGAATTGGTACTGTGAGGCAACACTTCCTATTTATTACTCCCTCCGTTCACTATTAAGTGAACAAACACACTATGTATTTCAATATGGACTACATACGGAATGAAATAAGTGAACAAACACACTAAAATGCGTCTATATACATCTGATTCAGAAGAAAGTTAGAACATCGTGAACGGAGTGAGTACCTGTGAATAACCCATGAGAAAGTTATGCCAGAGTAACATGTTTGTTAGCCTAACATTATAAAACCTAGTTTGGTTAGTATGGGATAAAACTAGGATAACTACAATCAGTTTCACTTGAAAATAAACTTGTAAGCTTTAAAAACCACAATTTCCTTTTTTTTATGCAGAACTATAAATAGACTATTACAATGACTGTCGACAGGCTTCAACCAATTAATGTTTTCACTAAATGCTATTGGAACTGAATAAGGGCTTCAAGTATACCCATAATTCTCACACAAATGGTTTCTGCAAAATCCATCGGCCATACTTAAAATGACCACTATATGTTTTCATCTGGGTTATCTTTGCTCTGATGGTTTGTTCAGGATTTGCATCTGTTTGTTCATTCCTGCCCATGCCTTGTTTCAAAGCAAGATTCAACATTTGTGCTATCTCTGTAGGTTGCGATTTTTCTCATCCAGAGGAACAGGCATGCTTTAATTGGTAGGGCCATTGATGATCATGACATGCAGCGAGTTCTTGAATTTCTGAAATCTGATCCGGTAACTTCCGGATGACTTTATTTCATAGTACAATGCTCAGAAGCTTTGTTATGAAGCTGATGTTATTACATCTTGCAGGTTGTAGATTCTCTTTATGATTGCAAAAGTGAGGTGATTGGGCCAGGGTTCTTTAGATTCAAAGCAGAAATTGGTATAACTCTAATCATGTGCCATATTCCAGCTTACAATTATTCTAATTTATTGACACTTTTAGTTCATAGTTTTTAGTCTAGCATGCCTCTTTTTTGAATTAATAACTATGGAGCACTTCTTTTTTGTTAATCTTGTTGTTTCTATTTGTTGAATTGGCACATCGTTCCTTTTAGTATTTGACGTTTCTTTCTGGAAGTTAATAGTTACAGAGCACTCTTTTTAGTTAGCCTTGGTTGTTTCTATTTGATGAATTGAATTTGCTGTAAATGACCGAGTTGATATTATTTATCTGCAATGGATGGCCCTATCATCTATTAACTTTTTAATCTTGAACCTATTGCTTTACAAGCATCTTTCTGTATGGCTATTGTATGACCATTAAGAAGGAATACACTTTAGTGAGCTAACTCCATAATTTGCAGTTGGCACCAACTCATAATTTACTGTTATGTTACCTGAGGGAATTAATGTCCGACATCCCCACGGGACGATGACTTGCCTGCAAAGGATTTTCCCCTTGGGGTTCGTATGACTTTGCAGTTGGCACTAACTCATAATTTACTGTTATGTTACCTGAGGGAATTAATGTCTGAAATCCCCACGAGACGATGACTTGCCTGCAAAAGATTTTCCCTTGGGGTTCGTATGAGAGGAAGAGTGCTGTATAGAGTTATGGGTGCAGGGAGAGGCAGTGGGTGGAGTGCCAGTGAATACTAAGAGGGTGCCAAACTACTGCATGTGTATTCATCCGTTATCACGAAATAAAAAACAAGCATTATGGTATGCAAAACATGTATGCATACCAAGGATATTTCAAGGGGTAGCCCTTACAATTTGCTAATTTGTTGACTCTTCCCATCCATATTTGCTAACATGTTGGGCTCATCTATACTTGCGTGTTGAAATTCCTCTTACATTTCTGATCTTGTCTTAACAATTTATTGACGTAATCATCCCACAGATTTCAATGGAGTAGTCTTGGTGCAAAATTATCTTGAAAGGACTGGACGTGGAGTATGGGCAAAACAGGTGTCTTTTCTACTTTAAAGTAACGTAGTTATTTTGCTCTCTTTTATGAGTATATTGGTATTGCTCTGTTGCCAGGTTAGTGAATAATTGCTAATTTATGTGCCTATTATCTTAAACTGAAGCAATCACTCAATTTCTTTGTCGAAATTCTAGGTAGTCTTTCTATTGCTCTTCTCTCTAGTATAGTCAAGCTTTGGCTAGAGTGTCAGCAGTCAGTCAGTGATTGATGTTTAGTGGATTGTTAAGACACCGACTTTAACTTAACATCTACCTTTATTGAGAGTTGTGTAATTAATATTTCACTCATGCTAGCTAGGCGTGATAAAAAATTGAATTAACTGCATGTCCTTGTTGTAAGCTGTGGAAATATCAATTGGAAGCCCTCAATTCAATGTCAATTTTGTGCACTTTGCATAATAGGTCTCAATAATCCTCCCAAAAATACAAGGTGTAGATGAAAAAAGGATTTATAATTTTATAGTGAAAACTTTCATCCAAATTGCTTGGTATCGCAGCATGAGCTGCATCTTTGCACTGCCCATCTTTATATCTCTGATTCACACATTTGGACGAGAGGAGGGGTTGCACTAGATGCATTCCTTTCTGAGATGATTGTATTCGAGCAGTTCAAAAAACATGTTCACGTTGTAAGATGGGAAAATTTCAAGTGCAAACTCCCGTTTGATGTATAATTGTACTCTCAGCATGTAAGCATCTCAATAATCCTCCATAAAAAGTAAGGTAGGGTATAGATGAAAGGAGGATTTATAGCTAAAGTTTCATCCAAGTTGGTTTGAAGTACGAGTTGCATCTTTGCACTGCGATGGCTAATATTGGCTATTCCTTTTTCAAACATCCTCTCTTGGTCACCAATCTCAATAGATCATCGATATCATTTCTCTATAACCTTTTATCGATTCATTTTTACAGTTCCGGGAGGCCTCGTTGAGTAAGGATGATGCGGAGCTACGAAGGGTTATGGCCGAGTATGGTATGCACTATGTTGCTCTAGTCGCAATTTTTATGCCTGTTATCATGTTCTGACAAGCCATGCGTTACTGCTGCCTGTACAGGTGAGGGTGTGGTGGATGCTCTGGGATATGAAGTGGATCGGCTGGAGTCAGAGATACAGAAGATTGTGCCGGGAATCAGACATGTTGACATCGAGGCGCACAACCCAGACGGTCTTTCAGTTTAGAGTAGCATTTTTTGTACATTTTTATGGATATATTCGGTTGATTGATCACGCTTGCTGATCAACGCCAATCTGATTTGTTCTATGACCTCTTGATACTTTTTACCCCTCAGTAATTCAGGCCATTGTCTCCCATGTAAGAACGAGATGCCCTACAGAAAGTCAGTGGGCACATAATCTTGGTGCTCACGTGTTGAATATGTTCTGTGGCGCGGCAAAGATAGTGTGCTGTCAAGATTTATTGCAATCCATCAACCTCCAACCCAACTGCTGATAGGGTGGCAATTAAACACGACCGCATATTTTTTGCGAAACAGGCTCTCAGATCTATTATTAAACCCAGTCAGATACAAGTAGTACCCCATAAAGATAGAAAAATACGAAGTCCCTGAGGAACCACAGAACCGCTGCATCCGCCGGAATGAGTCTGAGGACGCGTCGCCGCTCTGCTTGTTCGCCGGCGAATCTCCATGGCAGACGGGATACTTAGAGCATCTCCAGCCGCGTCCCCAACAGGCTCTCGCAAGCGATTTTTTTCGTGCCGGCGCCGAAAAAAACGTCCCAGTCGCGTCCTCAGAACGTCGAAATCCTTCGGCTCGGCCCGTTTTTGGGCACGGCGATCGCATGCCGAACC